TAAACGCTCTCCTCTGCTGGAATAACTTTTATTTCCACCCCCTCTCTTCTTCCTCTCTTTCTCCCAATTATCCACTGCGAGCAGAGTAGTTGTTATGCTGCTGCCAGCAACCCCCTATGCCCTCAATGCTCAGAGGGTTAAAAGGTATTATAATTTGAACAGAAGTAGTCTCAGGCCTACAGCTGGCTAATAACAGAGTTGTATTGAGTGGGAGCGAGCCCCACAGCTGTGACTTTCGCCACAAGGCTCAGACTAGACGGGAGCTCTAATCAGCTGGGCCAGGCGGCCGCTGGGGCCCGTGTCTTTATCGGCCAGATGGTGTGAATTTAGACACTTTTGTTATGCAATTGCAGGGAGGAGTTGGGGAGAAGAAAACAAAACAAAGGCCACCACGCTGCGAGCTTATTTGAGTTTGAAATTAGAGACAGATTTTTTATTTATTTATTTATTTATTTATTATTTAATTTTGGTGTCGGGAGGCTGAATTTATTTATTTATTTATTTATTTATTTATTTATTTATTTATTTATTTATTTATTTATTTATTTATTTATTTATTATAAAGCCGTTTTAGGTGGGTGTGAGGGTGTAAGTTTGGCTTTGGTTTGTAGGGCTGGTGTTGCCTCTTCCTAACGTAAACCACCATTTTGATCATGTAGGTCTAATTAGAAGAGAAAATATAACAATAAGAGGTGCAGAAAAGAGAAGTCTTCAGGTCTGTTATTCATCTTAAGCAAGTGAGCATCTTCAAAAGGCCAGCACTGTAGCAGGAAGGGAAATACTGGGGAAGTCACACCAATCATTTTCTCGAAGGGAATAGTGTAGGTTTGACCCTGGACCACCAGAGTTTGGGGTTTTGGGAATGGATTGGAACTGGAAGGAGTCGATTGTGTCCCAGGCAGCACTTGTGGAACAAACCCAGTGGCAATGTTGGGGGTGGATACTGAGGTGGAACTCCTGGAAATGGGGATTTAAAGATCTGAGAGGCTCTTCTGCTGAAATGTTGGGCTGGAACATCCTCAGTCTCGCTGTGGTTTCCTGATCATTCACTGCGAGTGACTCTTCTCCCTAATTAAATATTTTTTTCCTATTTATTTGGGCTCTGGAAGTGTTAGAGTCAAAGGGACCAAACCTCATCACTCTGAGAAGAATCTCCTCCCCAAAAGTGATAAGAATGTAGGTGCTGGTAGAATATTTGGAGGACTTGAGCTGCAAGCCACAGTTTTAGAAAGAAAGCATTTAAAGATTACGAGTGTAAAGTTCAGAACTGCAGTAATGGTGGAAATGAAAACAAACCAAGGTGCACTTATTGCAGAGCCCAGACATGTTCAACCTCACAAAATCCATCCTAAAACCCTCTCCCAAGAATGGCAGCATCCCTGGAAGGGTGGTTGAGGTGCTGAGAGGGGATTCAGCTACTGCTGGTGGATTCTTGAACGTTGCTGGGGTGCAGTTAAATCCGAATTATTTGAACAGCCACCTGCAAAAGTTACACGAGTAAAGGATATTCCATTTAATCTTATGGCAGAGGGGGGAAGCAACTGCCGTTTCAGCTGTAAAAAAGCGAAGGAAACACGACAGAAATGTTTTAAAAATTGAGTTCCTCTGGTTGCTTTATTATAGGGACACATAAACCAGCAAGGCATTTATTCCCAGTGTTATTTTCGATGCCTCCTTCTACTGGACATGCCAAGGAACATGCCAGATTGATGTTATTCTGAGAGGGTTTTCTGCTTTTTTTGGGGGTGGGTTATTCTTATTTTCTTCTTCAGAAAACATCTCACATCCTGGCTTTGGGTCCAAAAATACCCCATTCTTTATAAACAGCTATTAGAGCAGGGAAATACATGAAAGATGCCCTTAAAATAAAGTTGGGAGAAGGAGGGGGGGGGATATTCTGAGCTGGTTTGAATTTCCAGAGCTGCACTGAAGTCGATGGAGCCCTGACAATTTACAGCAGCTCCAGGGGCTGCCCCGGGGATTTTTAAATATTTAGTGTCTCCTTTTATTTTAAAAGGACTGGCATCGATGAGTAAGTGCAGGTTTGAGGCAGAGGGAATGTAGGAATGTTGAAACACTTAGAGCTGATCTATTCAAATAGATCTGCCACTTCCAGCTCATCTTGCTGGGCAGTTCCAACCTGGGAACAGCAACTTCCTGGCACCCGCTGGAACTGCAGGAGGAAACGCAGGCACTTGGAATTTTTCACATCTGAGAGAGGTTTTTTTTTGGTCCAACTGCTCGTTTTAGGTGTTTATAGTTGAATATTGGGCATATAAAGAAAAAAGCCACTTTCATATTTTATCCTGCCTTCAGTGAGTTCAAGTATTTTATTTAAATTATTATTTTTTTTAATTTTATTTTTAATTTTTTTTAAAAAAATTAATTAATATCATTGTTATTAAAAGTGTATAAATACATGCTTCATCTTAAGGTCTTGTCAATGTGTCTTTAATTTTGGTTTTCTTTCCCCCTGCAGTCGGTGCTGTGAGAAGAAAAGTTGTGGCAACAGAAACGAGACCCCGTCCGACCCCGTGATCATCGACAGGTAGGAGATGAACCCTCCTGTTCCTCCCCAAAAAAAACCATCCCAGGATTGCTGTTCCCACTCTGAGGACCTTTCTTGCTTGGTTACCTGTCATTGTCTGCCCTTTGACAAAGCTGATGTTTATTTTATTTAAATCCAGCTCCCTAAGAAAAGAAGGATATTTCTGTAGAAAGGTGGGCAGGAAGGAAGGGGTGAAGGCAAAAGGTGCAACACATCAAGGAGGGGAGGGGATTAAAACTGGCAGTCTGGGGATTGTGAACAATTTTAAGCAGAGCAGCTGCTTCAAATATTACTCAGGTTTAGGTTGTCTTGCCAGTTTATCAAGTGACATCAGTGGGGGGGGGAAAAACACTTTTCTAAATCGCGACCTGGTGCGTTAAAAAGTTGTATTTGGTGTAAGAAAACTCTCCTGTGGAAGTCACTGGCTCAGAAGTGCCCGAGACGTGGAGCTTCAGGGAGGTTCAAACAGGCAAAAATCAGGATAGGCAGAGCTGTTTGAAAAAAAAAAAGCAGCACAACAAGCAGGGGCTCCAGAAGGAGAACAGTAAATAAGGAAGAGCCGGGAGGAAATGTTTCCCCCCAGATTATTCTGCAGTAACTGTTGAAAGAGTTGCTTCTCCCTGAAGCAGCTGGTGCAGGGGGCCAGTGGAGAGTTGCTGCTGGAGTGGATTGATTGTGGATTCAGTTTTTATGTCTGTCTGTGCCTGGTGTGTTCCATCTCCAGCCTAATAAGCGTTATTTGTCGTGGTATTGCTTGTGAGTTTTCTTTGGCGTTCAGAAGGGTCAAGCTGGTTTGAATAAAGATCTACAATTGTTTCCTTGATTTTTTTTTCCATCCTGGTAAATCTAAATCGTTTTGGAACTCTGCTGTGATGGGGTGGGGTTCTTCTTCCACTCCCTTTGCCCCCATGGTTTTCCCTTTTAATTCTGTATTTACAGATTGTGCTTGGGGGGGCCAGAGCTGGAGCTGGGCTGTTTGTGGGGACGTGGGGGGCAGTTCCCTGATTAGAAGCACCAAGTCCTAAATGTGCCTGAACCTCCAGGTTCAGGCTGGCACTTTATTTCTGTGTGTTGGTTCTCCCCTTTCACCCCTGTGTGTGTGTGTCTTGATTGCAAGTGAAATCTGCAGCTCAGTCGGGGCAGGTGAGGTGAAGAGGGGAGACAGCCTGATGAAGCTGCTGCATTTGGCTTTAAAGGCAGTCCCTCAATCAGACTGAGGCCACAGACGAAGGCAGTGGCTCCAAATCTGCCCTGCTCTCTGCTGGTGACATGGCTTAGTGAACAGCGTGGTGAATAAAAGCCGATCTCAAAGCTGAATATTTCTCTATTTTTACCACTAATCTGTAGTGCAGCATCGAGCAAGTGACTCCTTCTTGTGTGCAGTTATTCCTCTTTCTCTTCCCCCTCTTCCCCCAGTTAAACAGCACTGCTTTTATTTAATTGGGGGGGAGGGGGGGCTTTATATGGCTTCTTTAAAGGAAAACTTCTATGCTTATGGATTGGTAGCTGATGGAATTGCATTTCTGAGTTGCAGTTTGCACCCCCAGAGATCATGTGGGTCGCTAAATAAGATTTTCAGTCCGTTATTTCTTTCGTGGTGTGTTGTTTTTTGTTTTGTTTTGTTTTGTTTTTTTTTAGTTTATTTGAAAACGAACTACAGGTTTTCTGTAAATAATAACTGGAACGAAGGTGGTTTTCCTCTGTTTGAAACGATGGGTAAATGTAAAATCACCAGTTCTGAGACTGCTGTGTGGGGGTTACCTGTTCACTGCTGGGGGCAGACACAGCTCCTTGGACTTGGGATCCCTGTCTGGAAAGGAAGGAACAGTTCAGTGGGAAAGAAATGTCAGCCCTGTTGTTGTTGTTGTTGGTTTTTATTTTTTTTTCCTTCCCCTTGAAAGAATTCCAAAAAGTTCTTACGCTGAATAAAACATTTCTGCGGCGACCTTTGCTCTGGGGACTGGATTTAGATCCGAAGGGCCCTGCGAGTTATTTTTCCACTCGCTCTTGGAAACCAGGACGTTTCTGTAGGAAGAGGAGCTTCTTCGGGGATGTTTGGCGAGTGCCTTCCCCCACAGCCAAAGATCTGTAGGGCACACTGGAGTATTTATGTTCTTGTGGTGTTCTGAGTCGGAATTGCAGGGTAAATCTGACCAGAATCTGCTTTCTCAGCGATGACACAGCTCAGACATTAAACCCCAGCCACACGGAGCTCCCCTGGAGCCCAGGACTGAAAGCACTGGAACTGGGAGGTTTAAGAGACTTCAGAAATGTAA